CAGGTTAAAGGCTAAACCTTATCTTTCATTTCTTCTAAGTAATGCATGCAATGTCCTAACTGAAATGTTAATTGAACCATGAATAGCATTGCTGGTATTGGAAAGATTCAAAACTGCATTTGTGACTAGTTTACATTGAAAGTGCCTTCCCTGGGTCCAATTATATTTACTGTAACAGTCTTTATTAATATTAGAATCTACTGCTCTGGTGTAAACAGACCAATCAGTTTACATGAGAAGCAGTCATCTTGTGACACAGCACAACAGAAAGTAAAAATTCCTGGGAATTTACTTTAAGGTTGGATATTTTTATTTGCATCTTTTGTACCTCTTAACAAATCAGCAATAGTCTATTTTTATTGGGTAGAGATTAGTAATGAAGAGTTTACATTTTCCTTTAAACTGTACTTCTATAATGGCATGAAGTTATATGGGATTGTTTGGCTGTTTGTATTAAGTTTTTAAGAGAATGTTCCGTTTATTTAGCTCTCTATAGAGACAGATCTATATTTCAAGTAACATTAGAGTTAGCATCTTTTGCTATTGCAAGACTTTTTTCGTATAAAGGTATTTGAGAATAATTTTCATCACACTGCAGGATGACACCAGTATTATTTAGTTAAAATCACTAGTGAATTATATGATGGTTTATGTGAATTTTTCCACTTGTATTCATACCTTTTCCTGAAAATTTCAACTTTCATCTGAATAATTGCATGTCAGAGATTTATTTATGAAATCTGAATGGTGAGATGAGAATTTTTTTTTACAAATTTGTGTGGTTTTTTTTAAAACTGCCACCATCATTTATTGTTTCTATTTAACATATCACTTGTTACAAAATCATTGTGTGAAATAAATTTAATGAGTTTCTTTTGTCATACTTTTCTTATAGTTAAGGTCATATGTTATTTATCCACATTTATTTTGGATGTCAACCATTTTCTTTAGCTTTGTTCTAATTACTAGCAGGACATACAATGACTCAGTGCTGGACTTACAACCTAATGGGCGTAGGTTTGAATCTTACCATTGGACCAGCTTGGGTTAGCTACCGTGGTGTGTCCTTGGGCAAGGCACTTTACACTCAATTGCCTTGGCACCAAATAACCTGTATTGCTGTGCCATAAAGTATCAAACCAATTACTTGTAGAACAGAATTTACTCAAGGATCAATTGACTTTAGAGTTATGGTACTTTGTAAACCAGATTTCACATTTTGAAAACAAAGCGAGGCAACAGTTTTGGTTTAATTTCAACATTTTTTTTTTCTCAAGATTTAGCCCCTATTCAGGTTTTGAATTAGTTAATAGATAAAAAAAATTCATATTTTATAATGCACCACAACAGCAATACAGTACTTCCGTCCATCTAGGTGTGTCACACCTTGGTTAAGTTTTGCATTTAGATCAGTTTTCAAGCACCCTGGTGAGCAGGGTTCCTGCAGGTCATGGAATCCTGGAAAAGTTTTGGAATTTAAAAAATAAATTTCAAGGGCCTTGAAAAGTTATGGAATTTGTCAAAACCTTGCTAAGTTTTGGAAAAGTCATGGAATTTGTGACAATGGAGTTAAAGAAATTGATTACTTCAAATTTCATAGAGCACCGAGAACCGATTAAATAAAATGATAAAATTACAATCAATAAATGGTTTCAATTCATATAACAAGAATAAGTTCCCCTAATGGAAGTATCACGTGATTTCCGGTGTAGTTCACTAAATAAAAGAAAGCAACTGGAAAGTAATGTGTTTTGTTGTTAATATTGTAAATAGGAACACATACAAAGACTACATAGAATTGTTTCCTTTTTTTTTTTTTGAATACAAATTACATTGATCATTGGATTATGACATGAATTACTACATAAAGTCAAGCCCAGGTAAATTTAAAATGTACATATTAAAAATATTTGTTGTTAACTTATTTCTTGTTTTAGATTGAAAGATGTTATTCTTTATGTTCATTTACTTGACAATGCAAGAAAATGCGGTCCTTGAGTTTTATGGAATAGCCCTGGAAAAATTTTGGAAAAGTCATGGAATTTGTTTTTGTTAAGTCTGCAGGAACCCTGGGTGAGGCATGTAATCCAAAAACACATTTCTGTTTTAAGGCATTATATAGGATCTGGTACCTAGGTCCTATGAAAGTTTATGAACATCAATCTTTATGGTTCAATTTTTGCAGAAGAAATATCAACAGTGGTCACTTGATGCTGCTCTTACAGATATAACACATGGTTGATTGTAAAACACATCTTTCAATTCTGATTTCTCTTTGCCTATAGGGACCAGAAAGTATACACATTTATGCAAGTCTTATAAAAATAGCTGTACGATGCAAGTTTTTCTTGCTAAAAATGTTTTTTAATTTAAAAAAAAAAATTTTCTGCCATTTTCTGTGTAGAATGGACACTCAGTTTCATTCTGATATAAATGTATTACGTGTATATAGGAACAGAGTTCTAAAATATGATTCGTTCATTTGAAATCGAGGCTGCCATGCCTGTCTTCATCTGCCATATTGGATTGTGCAAAGAGTTGTCACTATCACTGTATTTCATCTTCATGATATTCAGCTTCTAATCATGCCAAAAAGTAGAGCAGAATATTCAGAATTTTCTCCAGGCAAGGCAAAAAATCAACTAGAAGGACAATTATACCATCTTGTTTAGATTTGTGAAACCATCTAGTAAAGGAGAAAACTTTACATTTTGCAAATCGTGTAATGTGCTATTGGGCATGGAAGTGCCCATGACATACAAGAGCATAAAAAAGCTAAAAAACATCAGCTTGCTGCTTCATCATCAACAACAAAGGATTACTCGTGTCCTAAAACAAAAACAGAAAATTACACAGAATTCAGATCATCAATGAAAGATGGTACATTTAATTCGATAATGATAAAAAATAAAAAAAACAAGTGTGTAAAAGGCTCATAAAAACAGCCTGAGCCTAAGTGTGCATTGCATTTTCTAAAAGGGCACCCGAATGGAATAGGGTGCCCATGCAAAAGGTGCAATTAAGCAGGATACTGTCCTACTTTATTGATGGTTGTAAAAGTTGCAAATAGCTACATATGCATTAAAATTTTAAATATCTGGATGTTCCTCAAAATCTGTATTTTTGTCATTAGCAGTCAGTATTTTTGTATTCTGGGGTTGACAACTATGATGAGTATTTACCACCTGAAATTCAAATTTTACATTCTTAAAAAACATTCAAAAGAATTTTTCTATTCATTGTGAACCCATCTAATTCGAAATGTGTTTATTGGAATTAGTGTCCCATGTGATACATTTGTCTTCAAAAATTAGATTCAATGTATGAATGAGATTCAAAACAAACTGGGATTTATAAAGGTCAAGAGTCACTGCATCTAAAAGTCTATATGCGTACTTTCAAAAAAGACACTTAATTAGTTTGAATCTTCAAGTATGGATTGAACAGCTGTGGATTGAATGCCAAATCAAGCATGTAATAATAAAAGGGTATGGAATATAAAAAAAATTGGAATTTTTTCTTCATTTATCATTTTAAAAGTAATCTGGTGGTGTACACAACACACAATTAACCACAGCTGGATTAATTTGCTCCCAAAGGATTCATCCTTACCCCAATGAAAAGTCTTAAGTAATAAAAAAAAAAAAGACATAACTCCTCTGAAAATATTGCAAGTACATAATTGTTCAGCGAGTACCATATTTACCATATATATTAGGACATGATAAAATAATTATTGTTTTTCTGTTCCAAAACTTATGGTGAAACTTTTTCACATAGGTCATATGTACCAAGATTAAAAAATTAAATTTGTACTGAATTTGTGCCTCCACCCCCACATGTTGCAATAAAATAGATAAATGATTAATGATAATAAGAAGCTAACATTGTATTGTTATTAATTCCTTTTTTTCATCATGAGAATAAAATACTTCCACAAACTCCACATAAGTAGCGTAGTCTTTCATACTGTAGTGTGTATCACTTATGTCAAATAATACAGGACACATTGGTCATTGATGAGAACTTTGAGGAACAAATGTTTGGTTGTACTCAAATGTTTTAATATGTTATTTGACTGAAAACTGGATCTAACAAAATCGCAAACAAGAGGGAAATAATCAGATTGTTTACTGCCTTTCATACACAACAAACACGTTCACTGTGTTAGGTGCAAAATAACCAAGATTAAATTAAAGCCAAGTCAACTATATAACAGTATCTAGCAAATAAAAATCATTATTTGAAAATGCTTTCACTTGATTGCAAACGACAATCTTTTCTACATCATGGGTTACAAAAAGTATCATTCAAGCAAGTTCTTGCTGTGTATACTGCTTACCTAGACATAATGCCCATTGGTATTAATTATAATTACAGATGCCAAGCAATTAGAAGCCAAGTTGGTGAATAAACACAACTGGCAGCAAGCAGGTTTGAACTTGCTGACAGTACTCAAAGACAAAGATTGTTTTTATTACAAAGCAAGCCGAACTTAGAAGCCGACTCTGGATACTGTGAAGCTGGGTTTTTTTAAAGGATATCAGTACAAAGGTTTTTTCATTACAAAGCAAGCCTACTTTGGATTCTTTTAATTTTGCAGATTTATAAAAAAAATTTAATATATATATATATATATACAAAGAAGACCAAGATATGGAAGCTAACTGTGATTCCTTTTCATCGATATTCACAGGAACTTTGAAAATAAATTGAAACAATGAGGAACAACGTTTTATGTACAACAATATAGTGCTTTGTGCGCAGACATAGACAACCCAGCATCACCTATAAGATTTGAACAAAATAAATCATTTGATGAATTTTTGAAGGCCAGAAATGAAGATTTCGCTGACAATATGATTAACATGAATTAAATTCTAGTGTACTTTTTATCTCATTCCTAGACAGACTGACAATAAGACTGGGGTCACAAGTATGAGAATTAGTGAGACTGGTGTAGATTCTTTTAAAATATGACTTTAGTCCTTGCAGTGTCTGCCTCTCTGGTGGCCTAGTGGTAAGAGCATCTGCCTTGGATGTAGTAGGTTGCAGGTTTGAACCTTGGCCAAGTCATACCAAAGACTTATTAAAATGGTACTAGCAGTTGCCCCACTAGGCACTCAGCATTAAGAGGTTCATGTTAGGAATGGTCAGCCTGGTGTCGGGATAATTTGACTGGATGGGACATCATTCTATATGTCTGTGGTATAATCCCCCAGTGCTAGACATTACAATAAACTGCCACATAGACATAGTAGCATTGTTAAAAATCCATATCACACACACAAAGTTTCCACTTCAGGTATGTGTTGTATCTAATGAGAAAGCAAAAAAAAAAAAATGCACTGAAAGAATGGATCATACATGTGAAGTAGAAGGGTTGTATTAATGAGATGATCCAGCTGTGGATTAAAGAGTTTTATCTCAGTACTCAGTTGGGTTTTTTTTTTAATTTTAGTGGAATGTGATTTCCAACATGTAATGTTTTTAAAGTGTCTCAAAACTTTTGACATTACTGAAATAAAGATGTCCCAGAACATACAGTACACAAAAAATTACTTTTAAATTAATTTTTGGTGTCCCAACAAATATGGTATCTTAAAATATATGGTATATACAGTGTATCTTTTGATGATGGCCATAATTTGTACCAAATTTCACAGCAATCCACTGAAAACTGCAAGAGAAGTTGCATAATAACTTGTACAAAATTTGCATAAATGAAAATATTTTTCAATATTTGCATTGATCACAGTGATTATTAAAAGTTGTATTCTTAAGATTCTGTCTTTTAAACCTTTTGACCCAAAATTCAATAAGCTTTTTTTCTTTCCCCAAGTGCAAGCCATTTTACAAAGTTTGGTAACTGTAAAGGGTGGAATTTGAGTTAAGTAGTAATGATTTTTCTTCTCTCTGTCAAACTGACCTTGAGCAGTGACCTTTTGGCTTCTAAATTAATAGGGTTCTTCATTACCCAAAGAGAAAGCCATCCACAGAGTTTAGTAAAGTAAATATTGGAAAACAAGAATCATCATATGGAAACCCTGCCCCAAAATCAACAGGGTTCTCTTTCCCAAATATTTATAATCCAAAGTCTTGATAACTTCAGATGGTTGCAGACACTTACATTTCTTCTTTTAGTCAGTGACTTTGACCTTTTAGTTTTAGACTACAATATTGAGTGTTCTTTTTTTAATACCTGAAATAGAAGCTATCCATGAAATTTGACAAAAGACACTGGTGCTGATGGTCCTGTTTGTATAAATTTATTTCAATTTCAACTTGACAAAAGTACATTTCTCAATATTTCAAGACATATTTGTGCACTAAATTACAAAAATATGCTATATAAAGATTTACAATATTTTTTGTTTCTGAACTATCTTTTTCAATTTTTCTTTCCTTATTTTCCTTTGCCTGGGGGCTGAGAGCTTCAGGTCTTTCTCCCACTGCTTTCTGTACATGGTGTAGAGTCTCATGGCTGCCTGAGCATCTTGCACCTGTTGCAGTAATAGTATTGATAATCAATGAATTACAATCAACACAAAGAATCAAACAAATTCAGCAAAACTTTGTACCTCGCCTAATCTGGTGAAGCAATAAAAATTCATAGTTGACAAATCAGACTATGCAAGACAGAAATGTAAAGTTGCTATGCAGACATAAAAAGCAACCTAGTTAAATTAGCCTAGTGTTAAAAACAGAATTATGGGAAAGCACAGGAAATGAGTAAACAATTCACCAGAAACTTTGACCTTGCTGATAAAACCTTTATTGTGATGCATGAAATGCCATCAAACAAACGGCTTTAATAAAGACAAAAAAAATAAATATGCTTCACCCACAGCTTTTAAATCCATTCTATGGACATAGGACCTTGTTCTTTAAGACAGGGTCCCAAAAGTTGTATGTGACAATTATTTTAGGGATGATACATGGTTCATTTCTAATGGGTCTAAATTTAAAGAGCTGAATGGGAGTTTAACAGACCCAATTCAACAAAAATATACCTTGACACTGACCTTGATAATAAGACACCTAATGTGGTACACCACACACCTGCCAATGATGTTATATATGCATACCAAGTTACTTTCTCTAATCTCAAACAGTTTTGAAGTTCTTTAATCATTAAAAAAGAGATCTTTGGAAAAAAAAGGAATACTGAGTTGTGACCTTGACCTTGAAGATAGGACCCTCAGTGTGGTCTGTGACACACCTTCTAGCGATGATGTGGATGTATGTCAAGTTTCATTCCTCAAACAGCTTTAAAGTACCAAGGTTTATGCTTTTAAATTTATAGCTTGAAATGAAACATGATGGAAAATTACCAATATTAAACCAAGACTTAGAACATAGGATTCCTAATGTTGATTTGACAAACCTTTTAGTCCTGATGTACAAGTATACTACATTTCATTCTTTAATCTCAAATGGCTTTAATTTTTAAAGCCATTTGAAAGTGCAACAAAAATGTAAACTATTAAGCCATAGCATTGACCTTGAAAATATTAACCCCAAATGTGGAACACAACACACCTTCTAGTAATGATTACAAGTATACTAAGCGTCATTCCTTAATCTGAAATAGCTTAAAAGTCATGGAGTGGATGTGTATATATGATGGAAAAAAAATGCAATAAGGCATAACTTTGACCTTGAAGCTAAAAACCCCAATAAGGTTATGTAACACCTAGTGATGATGTGGATGTATACCAATTCTCATCTCTTAATCTTGAACAGTCTTAAAAGTAGAGAGCAGAAAGAAAAGTGGGATGGAAAAAAATCAAGTACGAAGCTGTGATCTTAAAGATTGGATCCCCAATATGGTTTGCGATGCAATTTATATTGATGATGAATATGCATACCAAATATCATCGCTCTCAAATGGTTTTTAAGCTATAGAAAAGTGACTGAAATGTAAAATTATTTACCTGTCACCTTGTCCTTAAACCTGGGCCCCAAATGTAAGTAATTAACCAAGTAATAAGTATATTAAGTTTCAGCTCTCAATCTCTAAGGACTTGTAAGTTATAGTGTGGAAGGAAAAGTGCGACGGATGGAAGCACAGATACTATGTCACTCACTTTTCATCAAAAAGATCAGTGAGGAGCAAAGCTGCAATTGTGATGCTTTTCCTAATAACTCAAATTCCCAATCCCCTATTTCCATTCACAAAGCACTGATAACAAATTCAAACAGTTAACTTCTTAATGTCAGGCAATGTGGTGCAAGTTTTTTGGGTTTTTTTCATTCCTGTGTACAGTAATGTATACTGCCTGTTATACTGTACTTATCCAATAAATTTTGCCTCCAATTTCACTAATATTTACCAATTTTGTTTGGTTTTTTTTTTTTTTACAAATCTATCTACGGGTGAATATAAAACATACTAAAAGTTAGCAGACAAAGGTAAACAAAGAAATTCTAAATAAGTTTTGTTTTTTCAAACAATTGCAGTAAAACTAGTCCTCATACTACATTAAATATGAACAAATCTGATGAAACTGGAAGAGGGTGAGTAGCCTTATGTTCCACTGAAACAATATATTTGTCCATTACCCAATACCAAAAAAAATTTGTATGTAAAAAAAAAAAATGTAAAAATATCTGCCTGTGAACCTATTTTAACATTTTTGGACTTACTGAATCATGCTCTCCTTCCTGAACACTGACATTCAAAACCTGTGCAGTTAGTTTCTTCAATGATGGTGTTCTACCATTAAAGAGCTGGCGGAATGGCTTGTATCGACTTGTGTCCCGAATGTCCTTTCTCGGATGATCCAAGTAAAGAACCTATACAAAAGTAAAATTGAAACAAATTTTTAGTATCACAAACTCTGGTGGAGTCTTTTTGTATAACAAGTTCTGGGGTGGTCTTAAGAGATTATTAAGTTAATAAAATGTTGCTAAATTTTGACTGAAAGTCTGGTATGGACTTGTCATCAAACTTAGGTTGCTCATCTGAGAAATCCTGCATAGGTATGGACCAGTAAAATGTATCAGAGACACATGGAAGGTATTTTTAATGTGGAGATGTCGCCCATAGATGCAATTTAGAATTATGTATCATTTTCATAAGAACTCTGATTAATCACAATATGCATGTATCTTTAAAAATGCATTCCATGGAAAATTAAATTTAAATGGAACATCATTTAGAAATTGCATTTTCAACATAAAAAGTTTATACATTCTGACTACATGCTAACTAAGGGGTAGTATTTATTTATGGTTGCTTTGACTATTATCTTCTTTCAATGAATCTTTTTATTAAAATGGAAATAATCTTCAAACTGACTGAAAATAAGCCTGCTAAATCATATATGCAATAAATCTTTGCACATGAATAAAGTTTTAGATCCATCTTTACCTGCAATAACATTCAACTATTTCAATTTTAAATGGGATCCTCCTTGTTTTGATTTAAGGTGTTATTATTGCTAAATTAATCCCAATGGTAACTGGAACAATGCTAGTCTTGCTTGTGCAAGAATCGCCCTTGTGCATCACATCCTTGAGTGCTGCACAAATGAACAAATTAATTTGCTGCATGTGCTTGCTTAGATGTCATTAAAAATGCAAACTGCACAGACATGGATCTGCCATCACATAATGCACTTGCAAATCTGGATCTATGCAGGTTATTTATTATAATCAGCAGAACAATCAACCAAGAACCTAATCTACAAATGCAATATACAACAGCAGATCGGAGTCTATGTTCTTTCCAGTTGGATTCGACTTACAAGTGAGTATATATGGTATGCATCATGTGACCCACTGGCATAATATAATGTATGTGCAACATCAAGATTATTAAATGCTATAACAATTATGTCACTGCTGTTGTTGTTTAATGACATTCTTCAGTGCAGGTCAGGCTATATATGGTTTCCAGTACAACTGTTGGAGGAAAAACCTTGGAAAATTCCAGGTAAAAACTATCTACCCACAGAAAGCTATTGACAAGTTTTTTCATATACCCACACTGGCTATTAATCATGTCTTAAAAAGTTGATCATAACTTGCTGAAAAGCCAATGAAGATCAGTATCAAAGATTACAAATTTA